GCAAAGAAGATTTTCATAGAATCAATGCATTTTCACTATATAATCAATAGAGCCCCGCCCTAACACCGGAACCCCTGACCCTGGGGCCATGAAATTCACAATTTTTAAAAAGGCATCCTTATGCATCATAACCATGCACTAAGTTTGTTTAAATAATACCCAGGAGCAGAGAAGAAGATTTTCAAAGAATTAATGCATTTTCACTATATAATTAATAGAGCCCCACCCTAACACCAGAACCCCTGACCCAGGGGCCATGGCTTTCACAATTCTGGAAGGGGCCCACCTCCTCATCATAACTATGTACTTAGTTTATCACCTTAATGCCCAGGAGCAGAGGAGAAGATTTTCAAAGAATTAATGCATTTTCACTATATAGTCAATAGAGCCCCGCCCTAACACCAGAACCCCTGACCCTGGGGCCATGAATTTCACTATTTTGGAAGAGGCACTCTTGCTCATCATAACTATGTACTTAGTTACCTTATTTAATACCTAGGAGCAGAGAAGATTTTCAGAATTAATGCATTTTCACTATATAGTCGATAGAGCCCCGCCCTAACACCAGAACCCCGACCCTGGGGCCATGAAATTCACAATTCTTGAAAAGGCACTCTTGCTCGTCATAACTATGTACTTAGTTACTTTATTTAATACCCCAGGAGCAGAGAAGAAGATTTTCAAAGAATTAATGCTTTTTCACTATATAACCTATAGAGCCCCGCCCTAACACCAGAACCCCTGACCCTGGGGCCATGAATTTCACTATTTTGGAAGAGGCACTCTTGCTCATCATAACTATGTACTTAGTTACCTTATTTAATACCTAGGAGCAGAGAAGAAGATTTTCAAAGAAATAATGCACTTTCACTATATGATCTATATAGCCCCACCCGCGGGCCAGAACCCCTGACCCTGGGGCCATGAATTTCACAATTTTGGAAGAGGCACTCTTGCTCATCATAACTATGTACTTAATTACCTTATTTAATACCCAGGAGCAGAGAAGAAGATTTTCAAAGAAATAATGCACTTTCACTATATGATCTATATAGCCCCACCCGCGGGCCAGAACTCCTGACCCTGGGGCCATGAATTTCACAATTTTGGAAGAGGCACTCTTGTTCATCATAACTATGTACTTAATTACCTTATTTAATACCCAGGAGCAGAGAAGAAGATTTTCAAAGAATAAATGCATTTTCACTATATAATCTATAGAGCCCCGCCTTAACACCAGAACCCCTGACCCTGGGGCCATGAATTTCACAATTTTGGTAGAGGGCTCAATGCTTATTACAATGATGCCAACAGTTTGACTGCTTGATGTCCAGGAGTAAAGAAGAAGATTTTTAAAGATTGCATTATTTTTGGTGGTTTTAGCCCCACCCCTCAGGCCTTGGGGGGGGGCCAGGGACCATGAAATTCACAATTTTTGTTCCCCTTCACCCATAGATGCTATATGCCAAATTTGGTTGAAATTGGTTAAGCGGTTTCAGAGAAGAAGCTAAAAATGTTCAAATGTTAACGCACGACGCATGCCGACGGACGAGAACGGATAGCAATAGGTCACCTGAGTGACTCGGGTGACCTAAAAACAGACAGAATTTATGACCTTGACCTTTGATCTTCTGACCTCAAAATCAATAGGGTTCTTCTTTAGTTCATAGGGAGTTGCTATGCAAAATTTCATTGCGAAAGCTCTAAGGGTTCTCGAGATATTGCGCGGAAACAAAAGTATTACAGACAGACAGAAATACAGCTGGATGGACGGACTGACAGACAGCTAGACCCAAATTAATATCCCCCACTTTCAGTGAAAGCAGGGGACAAAAAGATAGGAAAACATGCATGCTGTCCTTGAATTTTGTAATTTGAAAGCTGTTCATTTAAACATGCAACAAAGAGGGATTTGCTATTCTAAGCATCTTAACCTTAAAGAGCTCACCTTGACACTGTTATCTACCAGTATAAGGCAAAGCCTCACCTCACACCAAATAAATGTTCTGGTAGTGTTCATCCAGTCTGGTAGTGTGCATCCTTAGATGTATCAATGCATCACCCATGATAGCTTGTTTATCAAAGGGCTTTATACAATTATTGGGAATGAAACTTGCTACAACTAGAGGTACAATGAGCAAGCTCATAAAATAGTACCCCCCTCCCCCCTTGAACCTTGAACTTGCTAAAAAGACCTTGGTTTAATAAAATGACACATCCTCTGGTCATGAATATTCTTTTAGAATTATGGAATAGTTGTTGACTAGGTGTTTCCTTTATAACCCCCAAATCTTCAATTGCTGGGGATAAAAAAAACTTTATTCATTCAAAAAATGTAGGTCAGATCCAGCTTCAGAAGCAAGCCTAGTAGTGTGCATCCCTAGATGCATCATCCATACATGTTTAGTCACCATAGGGCTTAGTTACTTTGGAATAAGATCTGTTCAAAAACATTAAGCTGTAACCCTTTCACAAAATGTTTAACTGTAAGTCTCATTGTAAGGGACAACTTATTTTGTTTGTGGTCCTTCATTCAAATAAACATGAATCCCACTCACCCAAGGATGCTTTGTGACAAGTTTGGTTTAAGTGGCAAACTTTGACCAACTGACTCCAATTTTTTCTCTCCAGAAACCACTTTAACACATATATTGCAAGGAACAATCCTTAATAGTTTCAGAATTGATTGGATGTGTAATAGGAGTAAACCTTAGAACACCATTTTCATTAGTGGTTCTAGAATATTTTTGTACACTCTCCTATATTTTCATGTTTATTATTTCCCAGGTTCTTATAATTTTGATTTGAGATTCTGCTTGGTCTTATTTCCGAGCTTATTTGTACTTATTTCAACACCTCATGTCAATTGTAATGAAAACACCAGCTCCAATAAACAACAAAATTTATTAACCTTAAAGTTTGTATATTTACATCCACTGAATATTTTCTCTTTATTTCTAAAGAAAACCATTGCCGTTTATCAGTTCATGAACAACACTAGGCATATCACCTGTATGGATTTCTTGATCAGTGGCTGTTCCATCAATGAAGCATACTATGACGTACATATCAATAACACAATAATTGATCTTTTTACACAGGTTACGCATTTTTTTCTGCAACAGCTGCGACATTAATTCCCGTACTAACAACCAAAGAAACCATTTTATTGTTTAAATAGACAAACCAAAAAAAATTATAGTATAAATAAATAACAACTGTAAATTCCTGCCTTGTAGAAAAATCCTAACAACCGTACAAAAATCACCCCCCAACCTAGCGTACGGAAACGCTAGCCCAACCTAGCCGGGGGAAAAGGCCTAGGCAAATTTAGAAACAAAAGGATCATGGGCCACAACGCTCACCTGAGTAATTTTGGCCTTGCTGTTTTTCACCTGATTTCTCCCCCCCTCCCTTAGTACTTATTGTGGCCCTGCCCTACCCCCCTGGGTCATGATTAGAACAATTTAGAATCTACACTACCCCCAGGATCCTTCCGCATAAGTTTCAGCTTTTCTGGCCCAGTGGTTCTTGAGAAGAAGATTTCTAAAGATTTTTTTCTACATATTTCAATGTAAAAATTGGATTCCCTATTGTGACCCCACCCTACCCCCAGGGGTCATGATTTGAACAATTTAGAATCTACACTACCCAAGGATGCTTCCACATAAGTTTCAGCTTTTCTGGCCCAGTGGTTCTTGAGAAAGAGATTTTTTAATGACCCCACCCAATTTTTGTATTTTCTTGATTATCTCCCCTTTGAAGGGGACGTGGCCCTTTATTTTAACAATTTAAACTCCCCTTCACCCAAGAATGCTTTGTACCAAGTTTGGTTAATATTGGCCCAGTGGTTCTTGAGAAGTAGTTGAAAATGAGAAAAAATTTACAGACGGACGGATGGACAGACGGACGGACAGCTGGATGGATGGACGACGGACAACGAGTGATCAGAAAAGCTCACTTGAGCTTTCAGCTCAGGTGAGCTAAAAAAAGAAATCTTTTAAAAAACAATTCCTGTCATTTGTACATTAAAGTATGAAACTAATGGCAAGAAGCAACATGCAATTTTCCAAATGTGAGCATTTGAAAGTGTATTTGTGAATTTTTATTTGTTTATGTATGTTATCATCTTATAGAATTTAAAAACAAAATGACTTGCTTTCACTCCTTACTTATTCTATATACTGCCTCAGTAAAAAGGCTCTACCTTTTAATCCAGGGGGCCCCTCATAACCAGTCCAGGAAATCCCTTAGGTCCAGCGCATCCAACTTCTCCAGGAATGGAATCTCCAACTTCACCAGGCAGGCCATCTTCCCCTTGTAGTCCAGGCAAACCAACCAAGCCCTTTAGTCCTGGGTCTCCAACAATACCCTGGAAATATCAAAAATATTTATATATTCAAACCATAAAATTTCTTTCCATAATGCCATCTACTTATTCTATCTTTATCCTCATTCATGATGACATGATTTCAATTTCGTGATTTACTGGATAGAGTACACTAGACATAGCATAGATTAAGTAGCTTTGTTATCTTTTTAGTATCTTTTTAAAAATAAGCAGTTTCCTGTGACTTTTCAGGCAATTATTACTAGAACTATTGACATTATATCATCCATTCATCATTTATTTTAAAAAATTACATCTTTTTAAACAAAGCCCAACAGATTGTCAATTACAGTGTATCTAAAATGGTTGTATACCACTTTATGATTTCTTTTAACTAGAAGAGAAAGGTGTCAGTACATACAAAACTTATTAATACTATCCACAATGAACTATTTCCCACTCATTTATTCTGTGCATTATCTATACATGTTTCTCCATATCATTCTAGATCCATACAGTTGAAAAAACATAAAGCAAGAAGAACTTTGAAGAAATTGTCAGACAACAAAGTCTCACCATTTAAGTCCTACTTCTCAAAAGCTAACAGACAATGAAACAAAATTTGATTTTTCTCTTATTTGAAGTAGTGACTCTTACTCTTTCTCCAGGTATCCCAGAGAAACCTGGGGGTCTGTGGGGGCCACCAGATCCTGGTGATCATGCTCTGCCAACTGGTCCCCTTGGTCCCTGCTCGCCAGGCTTCCCCTTCATTCTTAGAGTGGAGGGGACTTCCAAATCCCCAGGCTCACCTTTAGGTCCAACCCTTCCAACTTCTCCAGGAAAACCATCTGAACCCTGAAAGTTTTATCCAACTTCAGTGCAGTTTCCAAAAATACAAAATTACGATAAACCCTTATACAGGTAAAAAATTAAATCAGCTCATCTGAGCCTTTGACTTAATTGGGTGAGCTAAAAAAAAATCAAATGCTGAGGGGAGCATTCCAACAATTTTGTTATTGAACTGTAAACCGGTCCAATCTTTAAAATTATTAAACTTCTTACATTACTTCTACAGGAAAATTCTCAATTAACCACCACCTTTTGTAATTTAGAATTCAATGTGGTATAACAAATTTGGGATGAACTAAATTTCCCATCTTTAGGGAAACATGAAGTAGAGTTACCATTCTTGAAAATAAAACATTTAGCGTTTATTTTCTTAGTAGTATTTATTATAATATAAAAACACATTTCAAATTAAGAAAATGCTTCAAATAGGCTTTTATGTATGATAATTTTGTTTTTAAAAAATACAGTGAGGATTGTCCTGTTCTATTACCAATAATATGTAATAGGAATTCCTGTATATCATTTGTTCAAGGCATTGTCGTTGCTGAAACTTACACAATTAATACTGTATCACAATTTTTAAAGCAAACTTTGCATCGTTTGAAGTAGGGATTGTCAAACCAATAAAGTCATTGGAGAACTTTAGCCATGACGATATCATTTTTATTAAACAGAAAGCAAATTTTTAATTACAGTTAATGTTTAATAAAATTTATTGTTTATTTAATTCTCTAATTACCTTGTCTGTTTTTACAATGGTGATCTGGATAGCGACAACCAATTAAATGCTTCACTGACTACATGCACCTGTGGTAGTATATTGAGATAACTGACACTTTGGAATGGACGTTTATTGTGAAAACAGGGTGGCGGATGGTGGTATGTGAATTTGGCATTATAAAGAGAATTTTACAAAGCAGGAAAAATGTTCCTGAAAAATCATGGCATTATTGCGAGGATGTCATGAATCAAATGGCAATATTTCAAGAATTGACTGTATTTTATCGTCATTAGTTTGCTTTCAGCATTTTCAAAGTACTGAATGTAAATGGGAACAAATTATCCTCTTATACAAAGATGGCATCCAAATTGTCAAGTTATGGGAGTGTGCAAGTTTATTAAAAACAAAAGAGTTATCGACTGAGATTTGAGCAACATATATTTTGTTGAAGAGTATTCCTAGCAACTACAGGTAACTGAAGCTTGTAATACTTTTAAAATCCAAGACACTGGATAGAAATGTTTTTCATCTGCTTTCATGATCACTTACCAGTATGCCCTTTTGACCAGCTATTCCAGGTATGCCTTGTTCTCCTGGTTGTCCTGGGAAACCTGGTTGACCTGGTTGTCCAGGAAGTCCATCAAAACCAGGATCACCTGGATCTCCCCTAAAACCAGGCTCACCCCCAGGACAAACCCCACAGTCCTCACCTCTTCTACCTGAAATTGAACAGATAGGGAAAAAATTGCATCAAGAAAAAAAAGACTTATTGGCTTTACAACAAAGCTAGTTAATTCATGGTGAAAAGGGAAAACCTTAATAGGTGCACATGTAATTGAATAAAAGGTTTATGATCCCCACAATGCCTATTATCCCCATACACCCCAGTGACACAGCTTTTTAACATTAAGTCAATCCTTTTTAGTGTCCTAAGATATCCACAAACATGACAATGCTATCATTTGGTTTAGATCTGCTCTGATTTTACACAAGCCTACTAGTCAATGAATGATCAGAGGACAAGAACCATTAGACTTGCCTTCACAAAGCACAGAATAGTCAGCTGTCTAACATAGGATAAGAACCAGCTGACTAACCTTCACAAAGCACAGAATAGTCAGCTGTCCAACATAGGATAAGAACCAGCTGACTAGCCTTCACAAAGCACAGAATAATCAGCTGTCTAACATAGGATAAGAACCAGCTGACTAGCCTTCACAAAGCACAGAATAGTCAGCTGTCTAACATAGGATTAAGAACCAGCTGACTAGCCTTCACAAAGCACAGAATTGTCAGCTGTCTAACATAGGATAAGAACCAGCTGACTAGCCTTCACAAAGCACAGAATAGTCAGCTGTCCAACATAGGATTAAGAACCAGCTGACTAGCCTTCACAAAGCACAGAATAGTCAGCTGTCCAACATAGGATTAAGAACCAGCTGACTAGCCTTCACAAAGCACAGAATAGTCAGCTGTCCAACATAGGATAAGAACCAGCTGACTAGCCTTCACAAAGCACAGAATAGTCAGCTGTCTAACATAGGATTAAGAACCAGTAGACTAGCCTTCACAAAGCACAGAATTGTCAGCTGTCTAACATAGGATAAGAACCAGTAGACTAGCCTTCACAAAGCACAGAATAATCAGCTGTCTAACATAGGATAAGAACCAGCTGACTAGCCTTCACAAAGCACAGAATAGTCAATTGTCTAACATAGAATAAGAACCAGCTGACTAGCCTTCACAAAGCACAGAATTGTCAGCTGTCTAACATAGGATAAGAACCAGCTGACTAGCCTTCACAAAGCACAGAATAGTCAGCTGTCTAACAGGTAACAGCATTCAAATTCAGATCTGGAATAACAACTCTTTCAAGTTGGTGCTAAAATATTAAAGCTCATTATTATTTAACAAATTCAACATTTTTTTTCAAACTATCTATTAACATATTGAAGAAAAATGACACACCTCTTTCTCCTGGGATTCCATCATGCCCATCCTCTCCAGGGATTCCTCCTATCCGGGAAATCCTGAAGGACCTCTTGAACCAGTAACATCCAGACAATCTCCAGGGATACCAGGAAATCCCTCAGGACCAGGTTCTCCCCTAGGACCAGGAAGTCCATCAAGACCAGGTCTTCCTACTCAGCCTGTTAACCAGGGTATCCTTGAACCGTTTCTCCAGGTGATCCCAAATCTCCTGGCACTCCTTTTAATCCAGGTATTCTAGGCAATCCAGGCACTCCATCAAGACCAAAGCCATCTGGAATAAAATAAGTAATCATTGCTTGAGTTTAGAAAATGTTAACCAGGGTTTGAGAAAATGCAAACAAGTGCACAATGCTATGATTATTCAAAGAAAATAAGAAATAAAAAAAACTAAATTTTTGTACTTTGTGCAAATCAACATAATAATCCTTAAAAAATACTTTGGTCTCCCTTGTGTCCTGGATAGGAGAATCCAACAGGTCGTCTCCTCCCTGGTATCCCATCAGGCCCCTGTAGGTCAGGGGGGCCATCACGTCCATCGGGACCATCATTTCCTGTACAGTATACAAATTATAAGATCAATCATCTGACAGCATGTCTAAATATTAATTCTCACATCTACTTATACTAAGTAATTATTAATTGAATTCCTAACACTTACCCGGGAATCCTGGAAGACCTTGTGGGCCAGGGTCACCTCTGGGTCCAGGACAACCTTGACCCCCACCATCTGGATCTCCTTCTGGACCCTGCAATTTCATTTTTTTTTTATCATTTACATGTACTTGAATATTTAACTGAATTCTAAACACTAAAATTTAGTAAAATCAAAACTATTTTTAATTCATTAAGAATTTGGGAATAAGTATGGATATTTTTTTTTATATATTTTGGAAATGGATTAAAATCATGTACAATTTCAAAAATTAATCACATGCAAATTTTGAGAAAAGGGTTCACAAATGGAAACAATTTTGGGTCTGATTCTAGATTTTCCAAAATGAGGACTGCATGTACTGAGCAATTAATGTGATGCAAGTAATTCGCTACTACTTTTGAAATCTATACATATTAAAAAATTTGAATATCATTATAAAGATATTATGTAACATTGCCAAATAATTGTATTGTCATGGCAACCCACCAGATCTCCAAGGTCACCCCTTATCCCCTGAAAACCAGGGTCTCCAGTTCTGCCCTAAAAGCAGAGAAACAGCCTTAGGAGAGGTGACAAAAATATACAAAATTTACCCTGATGAGAAGATTGTGACATAAGATCTAATTATAAATTTCTTATTCAGAACTCCATAAATAGTGTAAAATCTTAACTTACTAGTCTATCAGTTATTGTTTGTTGCCACTCTATTTTACTAAAATCTAAAATAAGCCTTCATGCCTTAGTTAATTTGAGGGGTGGATCTTACTGTTTCTCCTGGTAATCCATCATATCCTTGTCTCCCCTTTTCTCCCTGTTCTCCTTTCAAACCATAGGGTCCTGGTGGGCCGTCCTTACCTCTCTTGCCCTAAAAAAAGGTCATAGAAACAAAATATATCATGTTATCACCATACCTAAGACATAAAATTAAAATCGCCATAAAAATAAGGGCAAATAAAGAGTCAAAATGATCCCCCCATCATTGCATTCCCTCATTTCTTGCATTCCAGGCATCCCAAAAGGCCCTTTATCACCTGGCAAACCTGGAAATCCCTAAAAACAAAAATCCAGGTAAAAGTCAATGAAAGCTACATTATAAATCAAATCTATCTCAGTCTATGTTTTTTCAGTTACCGGTACATGTTTTTCAAAAATTTGTTATATAATATGAAATTAAATTTTTCTACTACAACTTATTACAGATTGTCCATGTCTATGGCCTTCAGATAAAGGAATAATAAAAGACAAAGAGCTAGGTTCACTTTATGCATAAAATGGCCATGCCCTTATATCAATTAATTGACTATCACTCTCTGTCCCATTTCATATATCAAAATAAAGTAGAGACTTAGTGCTTTCATTTCCTATAACAAAATTTCTTTTTGAGAATCCAGGTATTGGAAAACAGGCTTTGAGAAAATGCAATGTTCTTGAATTTTGCAGAAAACATGTGTATTTGACTATCCTCAGCAAAGAAATAAAATATGAGCACAGCCCACGGTCCAAAAATTAAAACATGTTTTGTGATCTTCAGAAACAGATCTTTCATTATGTAATTGCATATTTTGGATCAGAGGTTGTGCTCTATATGAAATATTGAAAAAATATCTCAACTTTTGGCCATTTTTAAGGGAATTTACAGGATATGGGAAAAATGATGCATTTTATGACGTCATAATGCATTGCCTAGAGAGAAAATTACGTCATGTTCAATAGATACACGGTCACCAAGGGTCCAAGTTATAAATTCTGCATTTTCAACCAAAACTGAGCAGTTTCGATTTTTCAAAAATTCTCAGGGCCAAAAAAGGCCCCAAGTGGCTCTTGCTCTTTTCAAGTTAAGTTGGATTGTTATGACAGAGAGAGTAACAGTAGGGAATTTCCCACTAACCGGATCACCACTCATTCCATTAAATCCGGGTCGTCCAGGTCTTCCTCCCTCACTTGGGTCTCCCTGATACCCCTTTTCTCCCATCAGAATCTCGTCCAGTTTGTTTCCTGGTAAAGTTGTGATGGAGCCTTTAGGACCTTTGAGACCAGGTAATCCTACCTCTTCCTGAAAACAAACAATCATGTAAATTATAGGTCAACACAACAGGTCAATTAGCCTGGAATTTCACACAGTTTTAAAATTTTCTTAATGATAAATTCAATGTTTTACATTTACACTGGTGACCAAAATAAACTTTCTAATGCCTCTTTAGCATTGGTTAAATAATAAAGGATATTTTGCATGAAATATTCTTAGACTATTACATTACATGTGCTATTCTTCAACAAAATTGTGGTGAATGATTATAATGCATCCATATTGATAAGTGATTTATCTACAGAAGTATACCTGTAACTTCAACTGCCAATGAACACTGACCTTTTCACCTTTGGGGGGATTTCTAACCTGGTCTCCCATGCTTCCCTTTGGCCCGGTTACCTCCTGGAATTCCAGTCGGCCCCTAAAAATTTTAAAGAAGTAATATTTAATTAGAAAAGATATATTTTATGATAAATGAAGGTACCACAATATTCAACTGAGCTACAAGAAAATTAAAAAAACTACATCATATGAATGCCCTAAAATATATTCAATACTACTTAGTATATTTCCTGCTTCCCCTCCCTGTACCCCACTTCTTTGATGGCTTCATTGTTGGAATAATGAAGAGATATCATAAAGATCTAGCAAATTTATGTCAATATATTTTATTTTGAAAATATGACCAAAGAAAACAGACCAAAAAAATTCCTCAACACTGGGACAGGTACATGTACTCATCTTCTTTCATGTTCTTGTATTTCTAGACTTATGTTACAAGATCAAAAAAAATTTAATTTCAAAAATTACAGTTGAACTTCGGTATCTCAAACACTGATATCTCGAATACCATGGATATGTCGATGCGATTTGGAAGTCCCACCCACTTATTCTTCTATGTATTTTACCCTCAATATCTCGAATCTTCAGATATCTCGAAGTTTTTTCTCAGTCCCCTCGAGTTTGATATAACGAGGTTTTACTGTATTTTGATCATTTCCTGCAGGAACTAGCAAATAACAATAAATGGTGTACAGAGAGAAAAATTATCTCCCTTATACTGTTTTCATTTATTATATCAAAAATCAATATGGTACTTTTTAAACATTTGTGTTTAAATAATAAAAATAGAAATACAGTAAAACATGCTTATAGCGAACACACTTATAATGAATTTACCCCTACAGTGAAGTCATTTTCATTCCCCAGGGTTTTAAACTTATTGTGAAGCTAACAGATATAAAGAATTACATTTATCACAAAGCAAAATCACAAGCATTCATATATAAAGCATGTTTTACTGTATGCTGATGCAATATTTATGAACTGTAATTTGTGAAGCAAAGTAGTTTCATTAAATTTGTCTTAAAATCATTTTACTATAACACATGTATAATCTTGTACAGGTATAGCAAACTATGGAAACAACAAGATGTGTTTGTGAAACACTGATGCCCCCATATGGCAGCTTATGGCGAAGGTTAAAGTTTCTCAAATGCAAGTCAAAATCCAGGCCAAAAGGTAAAAAATGTTGGTACCCAAAGAAAGGTCTTGTCTCGAGGAATATACCTGTGAAATTTGAAAGCCCTAGCTGCAACTGTTCAAAAGTTATGGCGAAGGTTAAAGTTTTCTAAAAGTAAGTAAAACGTCAAGGTCAAGGTCAAAGTTGTTGGTATCCAAAGGAAGGTCTTGTCACAAGGATTACATATGTGAAGTACGAAAGCCCTAGCACCAACCATTCAAAAGTTATGGCCAAGGTTAAAGTTTTTTGAAAGTAGGTCAAACTCCTATGTCAAGGTCAAAGGGTCAAAGTGGTTGGTATCCAAAGAAAGGTCTTGTCACAAGGATTACATTTGTGAAGTATGAAAGCCATAGCACCAATCATTCAAAAGTTATGGCCAAGGTTAAAGTTTTTCGAAAGTAGGTCAAACTTCTATGTCAAGGTCAAAGGGTCAAAGTGGTTGGTATCCAAAGGAAGGTCTTGTCACAAGGAATACACATGTGAAGTTTGAAACCCCAAGCACCAACTGTTCAGAAGTTATGGCCAAGGTTAAAGTCTCATAAAATTTTGCAAAAGTGGGTCAAACTCCAAGGTCAAGGTCAAAAGGTCAAATATGATGGTACTCAAAGAAAGGTCTTGTCACAAGTAATATACATGTGAAATATGAAAGTCATAGCTCCAACCAATCAAAAGTTATGGGCAAGGTTAAAGTTGACAACAGACAGACAGACAAACAGATAGACAGGACAAAAACAATATACCCCCGGGATCTTTTGATCCGGGGGCATAAAAATATCGATTTTTTCCTTGTGAGATCCTGTTGTCTTCTGATAATTGTACATGTGTCATAATAGAAACTGACTGAACATTTCTTACCCTAGGACCTGGAGGGCCAAAAGGCTCAGGGAGTCCAGGTCGACCTGGAATGCCAGGATCACTCTAAAAATAGAGACGTCCAAGATTTAATCATTGTCAGACATAAACTGGAACAATTACAGAAATATTGATTATGGAATAAAGCTCTTAAAGTTTACTGAAATTTAAGCATAGAACTTAACTTGTTAAAGTTACATTAAGATTTACATTTCATTATATATAGTGTGAGATAACACATCTGAAATCCAGTTGTTATGGTGTTGATACTTACACTAGGACCCCTTTGTCCAGGATTACCCGGATCACCTTTTGAACCAAATCCATAAAATCCATCTCCAGGATTTCCCTGTGGATTAAAAAATACATTTTATTGCCAGAAGATACATATTAAAGCCGACCTTTTGAATTATCTTATGAACAAAATACAAAATTGTACATTATAAAATCAGTAAATCCAATCTGAGACTTGATCAGCCACTTTGGAGACTTGTGCATTATGTGCTTTATGTATGCTTTACAGATTATCATAACTGGATTGGAAGACTTGAGTAATTTCTCTGTCTGTCCATCAGTCCATCCATCTGTCTGTCATTCTATCTGTGTATAACACTTCACGTCTGGACAATATCTCAAAAAGCTTTCGAGCTTTTGCAATGAAATTTATGCCCCAACTCAGGCCTTCCAAAATGTGCTGGTACCCGGTACTTTTACCCGACTGATATTATGAATATACCGGCCAAAATATTCGTTGGAGAAAAATTTAATAACACTCATATTTAATTAAAATCTCTTCCACAAGGTACCTCCTATTTTTGAAAAAGTACCATCTGTTTCTAATATTTTTGAAAAGCCCTGCCCAACTGCCTATGGGAGACCTCTATAAATTTTGAGGTCAAAAAATCAAGATCAGTAATTCATACATTGCAAGAAATGGTTTCCAGATGGTAAACTTACTTCTCTTTGAACTTTTTCAATGAAAATTTATATCATACCTCCAAGTCTCCTTATTAAAAGACAACCCCTGTTGATTTTAAGGTCAAAGATCAAGGTAAGAAATTCATACATTTAAAAAAATGACTTTCAGATGATCACTTTAGTTCTCATAAAGCCTTTTCAATTAAAACTTTTTATCATTGCTCTTTGTGACATAAAGACAACCTGTAAAGGTTTTGAGGACAAAAGGTCAAAGTAAGAAATTCAATTATTGCAAAAATTGAATTCCAGATGATAATTTTAGTTTTATTAGAGCTTTTACGATTAAATATTATTATATCATTACTCCCATTTACTTAAAGAAGATCCCTTTTGAATTTTAGGTAAAACGGTCAAGGTCAAAAATTCATATCTTGTAAAAAAAAAAAATGACTTCCTGGTGTTATAGAGAGTTCTCTTTGTTTTACAATAAAATTTTATACTTTTAGTCAATATGACTTAAAGAAGACTCTTTTGATTTTGAGAAAAGGTCAAAGGCCAAAGTCAGAAATTTATATATTGCATTCATAATTTTCAGATACATGTAATAACTTAAGTTTTCAGTAAGCTTTTGCAATGAAACTTAAGGTTCTGAATTTCTTTTAATCAAGAAAGACCCCTCGTGACTTTAAGGCCAAAGCTAAAGCTCAATGTCAATCTTTTTTTCTTTCACAATCTGCGGGTATTTTTTCATAACGGGCTTTGCCTGTCATGCAAATTATCCCACGTTTCCAACTATCGTTGATGCCCTGGCATACTCTACTAACTAGACAGTGATTCCTTAAAAATATCACTCTGAAGCTATAAGAATGACCAATATTTACAATTTTATATAATATACACATAATAAATGTAATAATTATAAATACTAGTAATAAAATCACTTCTTTTAGTGAATACTAGGATTAACAGTTGTGACAGTGCAGAAAAATTTCATAGCCAGTTACACAGTTTTTTCTGCAATGGTTGCAAGTGATAATCCCCATATTAACAAAGAAATAAAGACTTTTTTGTTTCTATGTATATCTGTATAAATCAGTCCTATAAAGTAGGTGAAATTAATATTATGTTAGATATTGTTTTATTGATCCATACATCATATTGATGAAAGAGCCAATTCTTAAGACATGGCTTAAAAAAAAACAGATCTAACTTGAGTTTAGAGTTAATCAATTGATAAACAGCCATTGGTTTTCATCAGAGAAAAAGGCAAAAATATTCAATGTAAATATTTCATACTATATATAGTTATATTTTATAATGCTGAAAATAATGCTGTTAATGAAAGAAAAAAAATTAAATGTAGTTACCTACTACACTGGTGATTTACAAACAGCTAGAAAATATTGTGTTAAATTGAACCATTGAAGAAGAAAATGTTACCCAAATGGTCATATTTAAACAAGAATGTGGGTACAATTAAGACTACATACTTTATAATTCGAAGTCAAATAACATACAACCATGATGAAGACAAGAGCCAATTACCAGCACAGACAGCAACGAGAGATGACTTACAACAAGAGATGACTTACAATGAGAGATGACTTACAATGTGTCACACCAGCAAGAACTAAGGGAGGTAATAACTAGATATGAAAGGGAACTAACTTTGTTCAGGTTAAACAATAAAAAGAGTTATAGGTTATCTAAATTAAAACATTGTTTTAATATTTGATTTATCTTCCAAAGGATTTGAGACAAGAGGCCCAGGGGCCACATTGCTCACCTGAGCACTGTGGCTAGGAAAAAAGAAAAATCAGTTTAGTATTGAAAAGCTTAAATGCATATGTGGTCCCAACCTACCCCTAAAAGGGAGTGGGGGGTATGATTTGAACAAAATTAAATCTACACTAACTAAGGATGTTTACATAATTTTTTGACTGTGACTTTTTTCTCTACAAGTTTGAACTTTCATTGTGGCCCCACTCTACCCCTGGAGTTCATGATTTGAACAAACTTGAATCTACACTATCTGAGGATGCTTCCATATAAATATGACAAACTGTGGCTTTGCTGTTCTTGAGAAGATTTTTAAAGATTTTTCCTATATTTACCCATGTAAAACTTTGATCGTTCATTGTGGCCCCACCCCACCCCTGGGGGTCATGATTTGAACAAAATTAAATCTACACCACCTGAGGATGCTTCCACATAAATATGACCAATCATAGCTTTGCTGTTATTGAGAAGAAGATTTTTAAAGATTTTTCCTATAGTATATACTATGAAAACTTTGATCGTCCATTTTGGCCCCACCCTACTCCTGGGGTCATGATTTGAACAAACTTGAATCTACATCACCTGAGGATGCTTCCACATAAATATGACCAATCATAGCTTTGCTGTTCTTGAGAAGAAGATTTTTAAAGATTTTTGAATTTTAAACTACCTGATAATGCTTCCATGTCAATATAACAAATGGCTTTGTTGTACTTGAGAAGATTTTAAAAAAAAATTTCCCATATATTCCTTTGTAAAAATTTGATCCCCCATTGTGGCTCCTCCCTATCCCATGGGTCATCATTTGAACAAACTTGAATCTACACTACCTGAGGATGCTTCTATATCAATATGACTAAACATAGCTTTTCTGTTCTTGAGAAGAAATATTTTTTCTATATGTTCTTATGTAAAACTTTCCATCCCCCATTGGGCCCCACCCTACCCCTGGGGGGTCATCCTTTGAACAAAATTGAATCTACACTACCTGACAATACTTCCATAGGGTTAGGCACATGAGTTTCATCTTTCCTGGCCCTATGGTTCTTGAGAAGATTTTTAAATGATGCCATTATTTTTTCACTAATTCCTAATTATCTCCCCTTGAAAGAGAGTGTGACCCTTCATTTGATAAAACTTGAATCCCCTCTACCCAAGGATACTTTGTGGCAAGTTTGGTTGAAATTGGCCCAGTGGTTCTTGAGAAGAAGTCAAAAATGTGAAAAGTTTACAGACAGACAAACGGACAGACAGATGGACAGACAGACAGACAGACAGACGGACGCCGGACAAAATGTGATCAGAAAAGCTCACTTGAGCTTTCTGCTCAGGTGAGCTAAAAAGCTTCCACATAAGTTTAAGCTTTCTGGCCCAGTGGTTCTTGAGAAGAGGATTTTTAATGACCCCACCATATTTTTTGTTTTCTTTGTTATCTCCCCTTGGAAGGGGGCTCGGCCCTTTATTTTAACAAATTAAACTCCCCATCATGCAAGGATGCTTTATACCAACTTTGGTTAAAATTGACCTGGTGGTTCTTGAGAAGAAGTTGAAAATGTGAAAAGACGGACAACGGGTGATCAGAAAAGCTCATTTGAGTTTTTAGCTCAGGTGAGCTAAAAAGTTTTACTGCCAGTGACCTTTACTTGGCCCATATATTAACTGTTTCACAATTAACTTCTAATTTTTACAAAGTTATTGCCAAAAACACAAATTTTACATGATATCTGCCAGTAACCTTTAACTCATCCAAATGAACTACAATTAAGATCTTGATACAACCTTTGGATATCTCAACTTTATATGGACTTAGCCCTTCACTTAAACAAATTTAAATCTTCATCATTCAAGAATATTTTTTGGCAAATTTAGTTGAAAATTGCTTTATCGTTCTAAAGAAAAGGAGAAACTGTGAAAAATGAAGCAATACAACAGATGGATCTGAACACTGTAGATCAGGGTAGCTCACTTCAGCTCTTGGCTCAGTTCAACTAGCAATATCCCCCCCCCCCCCACTGTATTTGATCTCAGGGACATAACAGTTAACCTACACTAACTGACCTCCTCCTCACCATTTTCTCTACTTGAACTGCTGTGTCGTGGGGATTCCCCTGTTTCTGAGGTATAGGAGGAGGCACTGTCTGTGCTGATCTTACGCTGGTTCAGTGCGTCACCTGGAGGTCCCAGCATTAATGTCTGGAGGTGTTTGCATACTCTTTTGAAGCATCTGGAGGGCCCTACAAAGGTTTTTGTATATTGTATATATAATTAAATTGGGTACTGAGTGGTTAGTGTAATCATGAATTAGTGCTACACACGTCCTTGCCAAGTATTGTATTTTTTAATGATTTATTTGTGATATCCTGGATAAGCATAATGTTCTCCATTTCAAAGCTTCTAAAATATCCAATCTGCTTTCTTATGTACACATACAGTATATGTAGGACACTCTCTATATCTATAAAGTTTTAAACAAGACATTGGAAGTAAACAACTGGCACCTTAAGAAATGATATCAAAACAATATTTTTACCATCATTTTAAACATATTAGTTAATAGGAATTTAGCTAGATCAACAAAGTGGCAATAAAGTACATGTAGTTTTTCTTCAAAGATAACAGACATTCAAACCTTAATTGTTATCTCGAAC